CAGCCATAGGCATGGGTTCGTCCCGCATTTGCGAGGACCCAGTGTTGACTGGCCCGGATCCTTGAGCGGACGGACGACGCGGACTGTCGTCCCGCGCTGATCGTGACGGACGCGCAGGGTACGCCCTCTGCGGTGACTCCGGGAAATCCGGGTGCCCCGGGGGTACTGCAGGCACTCGCCGTGCTTGGTTGGGTCGAGTCTGACTCGCCCGCGCGCGCAGTCAGCTGTCCTCGCGCATCTGTTCTCGAGCCTGGTCGCGTTCCGACCGATACCTGTCGCGGTCGCGCCGGAGCGTCGTCGCCTCCTCTCGTGCTGCCCGGAGCTGTTGCTCCAACTCATCGGCAAACCTGGCGCGTTCGCGAAGCGAATTGGCCTCTGCCAACGCGGCCTGGAGCTGCCGCTCCAATTCTTCTATCCGTCGCGCGTGCTCAGCGCGGCCTTCTCCCTCCCTGGAGCGCGCATGCTCCTCAAAGTACGCCCAGAACTGCGTCTGCAGCTGAGTCTGTACGGACGTCAACGCGTCCCGGAAAGTCGAGTCCCCCATTGCCGCCTGATAATGGCGCACGAACTCCGTGCAGTGCGGGCACCCCGCGGTGTGCGCCACCAGCAAGTGGTGGTTGGGCACTGCCGCCCACGTCATACCCGGAATGGGCATCAGCGGGGGCATCCCGGGGGGCAGGAAGGGCGGCGCGTGCGCAGCACTGTGTGCGGGCGCGTGAGACGAGACTGGTACCGGGGCGTGGTACGGCACTGACTGGTGCGGAGGGGCTTGTGGCACCGACGGTTGCCCTGGCGCGACGAACGGCATCGGCGCGCCGTACGGGGAGACATACGTGTGCGGGAACCCGCCCTGCGCTGCTGGATGTAATGGCGCGTGGGAGGGTCCCGCAACTGGGTAGTTGCTGCAGCCGCTGTCGTAACTCTGATGCACCACACGCCGTACGCGCCCAGGCACCCCTTATGCACCAACGGCCGTACGTTAGCGACTAATCTGACATAAGCGTCGGAGATTGTATTTGCACTCCAAATGCGGTAAGAGGCCCCGGGAGAGGCTGCAGGGCCTGTTATCTCAATAGATAACAGGCGCTTTCTTATCTCTTTGGCCACATTAGGCAGGCACTTACTGATCTAATCTACAGGGCGCTTTTTTCGATCACACCTCGCCCAAATCAGGTAGGTGGTCCTGATCCTGGGGTGGACCACCATGCAGGGGTACCCCCGGCTCCTCTAGCTCACTCATTATGCGTCCGATTGACTTCGTTTCTTTTGCAGTATGTGCGCATAGTTAGGGCGAACAGAACGCGCCCCTTACGTCGCAAATCGGTGAGAATTTACCTGTGCTATGGGGCTTACAGATGTTCTCCTACAGCGAACGGAGTTCTCCACGTCCTGCCGCCGTTTCGTACCGCATCGACACGCAAATAGACGCGTTTTAAAGGTACGTACAACATCGTTCGAACGAAACCTTTCGCGCGTGATTCGGTGAAGATCTGGCGGCGCTGCAGCTGATGCAATGGGGGGAGGGCTGCATACTGCAGCTCCACCAGATCTCCACCAAATCGCTTCATTCCTTTTGAAATAGGTGCTGATCCGCGTGTATAATCAGGGCGTAGCATTCGCAGAGGACCGCGCGCACGCAGGACTGCTTGAAGGAGAATATACTGCTCAGCCACAGCCCCTTTCCCAGATCGATCACGCGCCAGCCACTCCGCGTATCGCAACGCGAAATACATCGTCTGAAAGCTGTTAAATGCACCTTCCAGACGGTGTATCACACGTTGTGATCCGACCGCTGGTCGTTCCGGGGCAAGGTGGGCCTTCTCCTGCCTCACATACACACTCTCTGCTTATCTTTGCCCTTCAATGTTTTAGAAAACCGCCTTTTCACGCTGAGGCATATATACACAACGTATACTATGAGCCTACATGGCTATGGGACCCTGTCAAGGTGCACAAAACGAAAATTGAGCTCATTTCTGAGCATATGAGTGGAACATGTCACCGACGGCTAGGATCATATCCAACTCGCAATTTCTTTGGCATGGTAGCGTATGCATATCGTCCGCACATGGCGTCAAAATTTCAGCCTTATCGGCGACCAGGTGGACGTGCTGTAGTCTTATCAGTGTGGAGAAAGATCGCTCATTTGTACTCATTTGCTGCCCAGGTGCAACACGGTATCTACCAGGCTGGAAACTCCCTGAGATCACCTTCAAAAAGAGCCCAAGATCATAATTTACGGTGAGGATGTCGCAGAGATATGGACTAATGAGTGTTGCAGGGCTCTCCTGCAGCAACACTAGCTGCGAGCACAGAGAGACATCAGCACAGCCGCCCAGACCGTCTTAAGACGGTCTGGGTGACAGGAGTGCTGGAGCACTGTCTCGGACATAGCTCGCTCGTTTCTTCCTCAAAGGTTTTTAAACTTTGTACGTGTATAGTGCTATGTATTCGCTACTGGAATATGCATTTTATAGGCTATTCGGCGATGATGTGCCCGCGGTATTGATCATCTAATGTGACATGGTACAAACCGCACTATGGCATCACTTCGTTTCCGATTGCTCTGGAATTTTGCACGCCTATACATGTACAGTACGGCTATCGAACGCAAAAAATAGCGCCGTGATTGACGCATTTCCTGTGGCTGAAGACGCATTTTTGCCAGAAGTGTGCAGAATATGTGTATATTGTGTCCTATGCTACAAACACATCCTATTGGACATTGAAACTCTAGATATACGCTATCAGGTGGCCTATAAACAGGAAACAGGCATTAGATAGCTGCTTCAGCGAAGGGATATAGATGAATCCAGCTATAGAGGGGACAAGGGACCAGGAGGATGTATACCCTGCCCCGGAACAACCAGCGGTCGGATCGCGGCGTGTAGCATACCGTCAGATAGGTACATTCAATGGCTTTTAGGAAATGTATTTTATGTGGCAATGCGCCCAGCGGCCGTTGCGTGATCATCCTGGGAAAGGGGGTGTGGCTGAGCAGAGCTTGCTCCGTCGCGCGGTCCTGAGTGCGCGCGGTCCCACGCAGATAGAACTACCTGATTACACATTACAATCAGCACCAGTCGCAAAAAGAACGACGCGATTTGGTGGAGGTTTGGTGGAGCTGCAGTATGCAGCCCTCCCCCCACTGCATACGCTGCAGCGCCGCCGTATCTGCACCAAATCGCGCGCGGAAGGTCTCGTCCGATAGATATAGTACATAACTTCAAAATGCGTCTATTTCGGTGTTGACGCGGTACAGAACGGGAGCGCAACGCGCAAAACCGCGTTTCCTATAACATGATATTAGCTCTCTTGATACTGGCACTAATACTGCACCGTTCACCGTCTAAAGTGGCGCGTTCTGAGCGCCCAATGAATGCGAACGTACTGCAAAAAGAACTAAGTTAATCGCATAAGAATAGAGTGAGCTAAGGCAGGTGGGGGTACCCCTGCATGGTGGTCCACCCCAGGATTGGGGCCACCTACCTGATTTGGACGAAGTGTGATCGAAAAAAGCGCCCTGTAGATTAGATCAGTAAGTGCCTGCCTAATGTGGCCAAAGAGATAAGAAAGCGCCTGTTATCTATTGAGATAACAGGCCCTGCAGCCTCTCCCGGGGCCTCTTACCGCATTTGGAGTGCAAATACAATCTCCGACGCTTATGTCAGATTAGTCGCTAACGTACGGCCGTTGGTGCATAAGGGGTGCCTGGGCGCGTACGGCGTGTGGTGCATCAGAGTTACCACAGGAGGTGGTTGCTGGGCACCGTATACGGTGCGTAGGGGGCTTGGAGAGGTTGGGTGGACCCGGAGGGGTCCGACTGCGCAGGGGCAGTCTGAGGAGGCGGGGCCGGATTGGTCGTCGACGGATCGACGGCCATTCGAGCGGGGTTGAGCGTTGGGGAGGGTGGCTGGGACATGGCGAGCGTAGTGGTGCTAAGGCGCGATGGGTGCGGGGAGAGGTGAGGTGGCAGGAGGTCGATGCAGGCCACGACGAGCTCACCGCTTAGAGCGGCGAGCTCGTTAGCGCCTGCGGAGTTTGAAACTCCGCCCGATCTCTCCAGATCCCCGCGACGCGTCGCGTCCTTTGCTCACGTGCTTACTCGTCCTCTTCCGCTCGCCCTCAGCCGCCGTCTCGCTTTCGGTCGATTTCGACCTGCACTCGTCCGAGTGCGATAGATCCAGTAGGATCTATCCTTGCGCTCATATCCCTGGGTCGAGTACGACCAGCACTCCGTGG